AAATTTAAAAGTAATTATCACTGGTTCATTACATTACATTAATATTCATCTCATATCGAATGTTGTTGCGTTTTTCAATATCTATCAATAAATTATCTAACGAACACCAAATAAAAGTTTAAATAAAAGTTTTATAACTATTATTTGATGTTTGCTAGGTATGTTATAATATATTGTGAACACATAAGAAGAAATTATGTAAACACAAATCGTAAGAATATCGTTGGAATCATTGGGAATCGCCGCGTGCCGCTCGATCGTCAGGTTAAGCAACACTTTAACGGAGTTATAGATAATGACCGGTGATATACCTTGGGATCGAAATTATCAAGGGAAGATTCACGAAAGTTTGGAGTTGTATATTGACAATTTTCGATACTTAGTAATTTATGAGACATGAGAAAATTAGGAATATAAATATATTTTTTTAAATATTATGATTTTCTCATTTTTCACATTTGCACAATAATCGTCAGTATTTGATTACTATCAATATTTAATAGTGATTTTATTATCAGTATTCATCAGAAATTAAGTACTGACGAAAAAATTACTGAATTATTGGTAATACATAATCACTAATAATTTTTTAGTATTTATTAGTATAATATTCCTGTAAAGGTGTTATCTGGGATTTTACTTTGTATAATAAAACATATTAATAATATTACATATATTATATATTGCATTACAATATTGTTGCACAGTTACACCCTTGTTATACCCTTATAAAAATATCATACTAAGAATCATTGATAATTACTTATTTTCAGTATTAAAAATACTGGATAATAAGTAATTATCAATGATTCTTAGTATAATATTTCTAGAAGGGTATTGCCGCAAGCGGACATTTTACCGTTGCTGCAATGTTGCAGTAGCATTGCAGCAACATTTTGCAACGTTGTTGCAATGTTACAATATTGTAAAACAATAATGCTGTAATGTTGCTGCAACGTTACTGTGCTATACAGATAGTAACGTATGTTCCCAACTTTTAAGGATACAATACTGTTCCTTTTCTCCTTAGACAAAATTCAATCAATGAACAGAGAGTAGAAAGAGAGATCCGTGCCCACACATCTAGCTTTTTTTTCTAGGTCTCTCAACACGAAAGATCAAAGAAGTCTTGCCGAATGCGTACAGTACTATATGTGATTGTTGTGAGAAACAGGCTCCTATTTGAAGACACTAGAACAATACGCTACGCGCGCGTCATATAGCTAACAAAGAAACAATAAAAAATGTAAAATAAAAATTAAATAAAAATTAAATTAAATTAAAATATACTTTAATTAATTAATAATGATAGGGAAAGACAGGGAGAGACGGGAGAGACAGGAGAGACATCTCTTCTGTATTTTTTTTTGTGACCTAACCAACGCGATGACAGCTATTTGTCTGGTAATTTGACAAGCGCAAACGACACGAAGTAAGCCGCAGCTCACATGAAGTGAGCTAAGCGAGAGAACTGCGATCAGCATCGCGGAAAAGCAGTAACAATTAAATCTCTTATAATCTCTAATGCCTTTTTTTAGAGAGGATATATATAATACTACTATGTATGTGTACTAAATAAGAGAGAAGTCCGGTCCCAGAACCACGGTGCGGGAATATATATTTCTATCTTTTTCAGAGTGTATTATGAACGTTATGCGCATGCATCAGATAGATCGTATCCGCCAATGGGAAAATTAAAATATATTGTACAAAGTTGCATGTAATAGGTTACATATGCGATATGCTATAAACATGAGCACGCGAAGATGCTATTTGTAAAATAGTTGATATGAAAAAAGCAGCTGCAAATGAAAATATTGGTTTACAAGGAAGCAACTATTCAGGTTAAGGTATATATCACACACTGACACTTTTACTTTATATATATTATATATATCATCTGATCGTCGCGCCTGCGCACTACGGTCAAAATACACTCCTCGGATATCGTCTGTCCTATTCTAGAACAAGTTCCTCTTAAGCCCGTATCAGACTAAGGATTAAAATTAAGATTTAATTGAAAATTGGCCAATTAGAGCAAAGTTCACCAAATTTGAGCTTAGTGAATTTTGCTCTGATTGACTAAATTTAACCTCAATCCTAATCTGTAGTCTGATACGGGCTTTACAGGCAGCATAGAGCGATTAGCAATATAGTAGTATTACATATATGTTGAAGACCGGCAGCCATCTTTGTTACAGTAAAATATGCCAATATGGTGGCACTATTGACATTCAATATTGTTGTTTCGGGTTATGTTAGAGAGATGTGAAAATGGTATTATCCTGTGTTTTTTGTGGTTCAAAACAAGGGACTAAAGGTAGAACATGTCATAAGTAAGTATACAAGTCATATACTTATGCCATATATTTATGTTTATGTCAGAGCTCGGAACAGTTTGCCAATTTCGGTCAATTCTCGGAAGCTACGTCTTCTATCTCCCTCTTGCCGCGTGGCGGGCCAAGAAAGTGACGGTCGTGCCTCTAAGCTTGGAGCCGCGACTGGTCGTGACCATCACTTCCTTAGCCCGCCGCATGGCAAGAGGGAGATAGAAGACGTAGCTCCCGAGAATCGGCCGAAATTGGCAAACTGTTCTGAGCCCTGATTTATTGATGTCATTCCTTTTTTGTATTTTATTTTATATTATTACTTAGAAATTAATATTTTAGAATAATATTTTTTGTAAAGGTTTCCTTTGAAACATAAGGAAATTTTACAGTCATAGTTGCAAAACATGGGTCTGGAGTCAAACTTTGAACCAAAAAAGCATTTCTTCCTATGCTCTGATCATTTTGAAGAAAAATGTTTTCAAGAAAATACAAATAAGAAATGTCTAAGTATTGGAAGTATTCCAACATTATTTGGTGAATATAAATCACGTTGTATTTACTGTCACTCAATGAAAGGACAGAATAAAAAAAGATCATTTCACAAGTAAGAATTGTTTATGTGCATCTCTTATTCTATGTACAAGAATAGTATACAATTATCTTGATTAATATTTATCTTGAAATATTATTATCTCAAAGTATTTTAATTTAAATATGTTTTTAATAGATTTCCTTTAGATAATTTTGCATTATTGGAGAAATGGATAGCAGCAATAGGACTGAAACATTTTATTCCAAATGAGACAAGTTTACTATGTAATGACCATTTTGATGAAAAATGTTTCCAATCATCAGGATTTGGTTTAGTTCTTAAAGCAAATGCAGTGCCAACTTTGTTTTCATCAGATAGTAAAGGTATAATATATCTATAAATTGTTCAGTTGTAATTGTAAAGTTTTGTGTAATATTAAAATAAATAAATAAAGTATGCATTTTATATGCAGAAATATATACATATATATTGTAGGAACACCCATTAAAATGCAAAAGAATATAAACAATTTATCCAATAAAGTATATGATATTAAGGGTAATCAATTGATAACTCAGCAGCCAAATACAAAGTATATTTCATCAACATATTCCACATCTTCTAAAATTCAAAGAAATGATGGGCCTTCTATTAGCATACCAATACATTCAATGAGAGAAACTGTGATGGATTATTCCTCAGGTATGAATGAATAATTAATATATATATACACACACATACACACACACTCAGGGTGTTAGTTAAATATGTTGCCATACTCAACAGAGCGATTCTTTGGTTTATTTCAAGTAAAAAAGTTCATATAAACATATATCCTAAATGGCTTAGTTTCCGAAATACAAGTGAATGTTCACAAATGTTTGACGAAACGGTAAATTGCGTTGGAGATATCTTCCTGCATAAATATACCTTGCTTCACGTGAGTTACCATTCGCACGATCGTAAACAAAATGACAAAGTCAAAGTCATAAAAAATAGACTTCAGTTCTGATGTTACTGCGATTAGCTTGTGCATACATTTTCGGGCCAAATTGTTTTAGTCCATCAAAACCGGTTTCATTATACCTAAGTTTACAAATTTTGAAATGACAGGTATGTACTTTGCCTTGCAAATGGTAACTCACGTGAGGCAAGGCGTATTTATGCAGAAAGATATCCCCAACGCAATTTACCATGTTGTAAAACATTTTTAAATATTCACCGCTGTCTTCGAGAGAAGTTCTTTTGTAAGGAACACTGTTGATCTTGGAAAGCCTATGACAGTTAGAACACCAGTACTAGAGGAAGCTGTTCTAAATGAAACAGATCATTACTACACGTTTAAATTTTTTTATTTCGGAAACTAAACCGTTTAGGACACATGTTTATATGAACTTTTTTACTTGAAATAAACTAAAGAATCGCTCTGTTGAGTATGGCAACATACTTAACTAACACCCTGTATGTGTGTGTATGTGTGTGTGTGTGTGTATAACACATTTATGCAGACGATTTAATTTTTATATTAAATACTAATAATATATCTTTATGTGAACAGTTGAACACTGCGACGAAAATGTAACACCTTCTACAAGCTTAGCTGCTGAAAAAGGAAACAATCCAGTTCGCAACAAGATACCAGAAACATGTAGAGGTATTAAAAGTCGAATTCTTCATATGAAGCATGATCATCAGTATGCAACATCTCCACAAATGATGAAAATGCAGTTTTTAATGCAGCAGAGACATATTTTAAAACGGCATGTTTTGCGTTTAAGAAAAAAGATTATTTCATTGAAAGACAGTAAGTGAATTACGAAAAGCTCGTGCTATTCCAGATTCTAGTTTAGAGTATTTAGATGCATTTCTATTTCTTAAATTATTTTTATTTTTTATTTTTATGTAACATATTTTTATGTAGAAACTATTGTTCTTTGTTTGGTGTAATATTTCATTTATGCTTGTTATGAATTCACTAAAAAATAAATATTTCTTTTAAAACTTCATTATAAAACAACCACAGACAATATCTCTCCTTTTTCTTATATTATAATTATAATTTTTAACATTTTTTTCATTTCAGATATTGCAAAATGACATTTGCACTGAAATGTTAATGAAAAACGAGAATTCATTGATTTACTAGTAGGTATATAAATTTAATATTCAATATATTTTTTAATAAGGATGAATTTCACTTTTCATCCAAGCAAACAAGATGACGTCTTAATGACGTATTATTGACGTCATCTTGTTTGCTTGGATATTACATTTAAAATTTTATTTTTATTTCTCAATTAATTAAATCTATAATTATATATACTAAATTAACTTTTACATTTTAATGTATTATTAAAGCTCCTGGCTAGTCACCGCGGCCATATTGGTTAGTGACATCAGAAGCGAGAAATTGCACACGAATTTTGCGCCCAAATCATTGCAAAATAAAAAAGATATATTAACAAAGTGACACTTACAATCGATCCTACACACTAAAATGCTCCGAATAGTGTTCATTTCCCGAAATAATCTTTACACTGTTAAATATACGTGTGAAAATCGGCTTATTTTGACAAGAGATCAGTTGTGAGACTTGGTGCGGATTATGATAGAATAAATACTATTATAGTTAAAATATTACAAAAAGTACAGTATCCGGAATATTTTGACACTTCCGTAATTGTATTATGTGTGATAAGTAAGTACTACAGTCCCCAATAAGCAAATTGAGCGCAGATTGACATTAGATTCGAGCTGACCCTGTGGTCAGATCCATAGTCATCTATCGAGCCAATAGGCTATTAGACTGTCTCCAGAACCTGCCGACAGGCTCTGACAGCAGACTTACAGCAATATGCACGCAGAGTTTGTAGACATATATGTGACAGCAGAATGACGGCATATTGCGTGCAGATCTTGTCGTTTCGTAGGTTCTTCAATTAAATCTTTGGTAAAAAATTTTCTCATAATTTTTCATAATTACTCATAGAATGAGCGTTTTCTCATAAATACTCGTAAAATATAATTTAAAAAATTTTTCTATATTATTTTTTCATAATTTTTAAAATTTTCTCTAGCGAGATTCGAACTTGAACCGAAGATATTTTTTGAATAATCGTCCGTCGCCTTACATTACGCCAATTCCTCACTTTATAAAAAGTGAGTATACTCACTTCAAGTTTAAGGAAGAAAAATCTTAAAGTTTGTTTGCCTTTTAAACTGCAAAATATAGACGAAATCGTTTAGCATATAAATAATATAAGAGAGACTGGCACGATAATTCGAAATTAATTTTCTACCAAGGACTGTATAGAAAATCACTGCAATAAAACAGCAGATAATGATATTTTTCCATTATGCTAATAAAATACTGTGCTTTTACATGTGCGAATTAATTTCGTCGATCGTTCAATTCAGATTGTATTAAATTTTATAAAAATCGAAACATGATATCCATACAGCACAAATGTCCGAAATATATTCCAGAGATATCACATTGTCTCTGGAACGTCTCTGGGATGTATTTCAGACATTTGGTGCTGTATGGGATATATTTTCAAATAAACCATCACAAAAATTCTGTAAAAGTTATTTACATGGTGGGACTAATATTTTATTCGGTGTTGCTGCCTTCAGTACTTATTGCATGACGGTTAAATTATTCAGATTTAATGACATAATAACAATTAAAAAAAAAATAACCCAGATAGCACAAATGTCCAAATTCGAGTCATAAGACGTCTTTAGAACATTTTTAAGACAATATCTTATAAACTTGTCTTAAAGATGTCTTAAAGACGTCTTAAAGATGTCTTAAAGACGTCTTATGCCCCGATTTCGGATATTGTGCTGTCTAGAAATAATATGAGAAATTGTATGAAAAATTATGAGAACAATTTTTACTAGGAATGGCATATGTACACCTTTGAATGGCCATTTAAACTGGCCATTTAACCGTTGTACGATTCTATACCTGTATTCGTTTTTTCTCTATTATTGTTGCTTTTTTATAAAAAAATGTATAATACAATTTTAAAAAGTAAAAATTGTTTTTTATTGTGTATATGTATACAATTATTGCACAATATAATTATCTTGACTCCTCTCAGAGTTTTACATGGTGTGCATGTGAAACTACCCCATCTAATGACGTACATATGGCTCTTGATAAAATTAAATAGCCTATCTACGAAACAGAATCTGCGCGCAATTTGCTACCAGTCTGTCGGCAGGCTCTGCACGCAGTCTGTCACCAATCTGTCGTCAAAACAGATTCTGTGTGCAATTTGTTGCCATTCTGTCTAGCCACTATTGACAGACTCTGCGCAAAATCTGCTCGCGCAGGTTTGGCTATCTGGGCCTCTATTCTTGAAATTTTTGCGTATACGTAATTTTCAGTATCAGAGTTCTCAGCCCTGATGATGCAAACTGCAACGTTTGCGAAACGTCGGCATATCGCTGATTCAAGACACGGCTCCATTCCGGAAGCTATATCTAGACATTGTATCAATGGCCGTGAAAGCCTCAAATCTAGTACGTAATTTTCATTGCGCAACTATTTTATGGTATGATTAAACCTGCGCAGTAAAACTTACGTATACGCAACTATTTCAAAAATAATGGCCTGGGGTCAGTAATAACCATAGACTTCTATATACTACTAGACTGCTCTCTAACTCCGACTCAATACATAACCCCGAAAAATATGTACAGAAATCTCGCGCATGCGCCTATTTAGTGTTCCGACATTCACAATGTAGCATCTCGTTTTAGGCATTATTGCACTCTGATAAGTAATTATACATTTGATCACTTATTTTTATAAATTTTTTATTGTGACGTTTTTCACTTTGTACGTACATAAATATTTAAGGCGGCATCGGACATATTACATTTATATCCTCTTTTCTTCTGGAACACCAGTTTCAGGCATACACAGATGTGTTTTTCCCGTACGTAATACATATTGTTCAGGGTCAATTCTACAAAGCACTATATAAGGAAGTTAGCATAGTAGTTATATAGAAGTATGTAGCAATAACGTCGTGATTCGGACGGAAAAATTTAGGTGGCTGTTATACACATACATACACAATTCGCTTTATACATACGATGAACAAAGTTCTTATTCCTATCATTGATGACTCCGCCGTCACCACCGTCAACGCGGACTTCTCGCCAAACTAGCTAAGAGCCTTAGGGGCCTATTCTATAACGTTTAATGATGTTATGTATCGCTGCACAGTTATTTCATAGTACAAAAAATCTGCGCAATGATACATAACGATGTCGTTAAAAGTTATAGAATATACTGCGCTTACCGAATATACATGTGTGTGTGCGTGCGTGCGTGCGTGTGCGTGCGCGTGTGTGTGTGTGTGTGTGTGTGCGCGCGCGTGCGTGTGTGTGTGTGTGCGCGCGTGTGTGTTGTTTGTGTGTGTGTGTGTACACTCACGAGCGAATGAACAACTAG